CATGTGCATTTTCTTTCATGGAAAAAAAAATGTTTTTAAAATGTAATTTATATATACTCTCACTCCTGATGTAAGTGTCTGAAAAAAATGACACTCAGTAATCACCGCTAACTTGCGATCCGCAGTTACAACGTTGAAAACAAGTTGTAATATTAACTGGGTAATGTATTCAACTCTCTTAATTTATCTTTGGGTGCGAGATATAAATGAGTGCAGTAGACTGCAGACCTTTTTCATAAGTCTGGCGCCCTCACAGTTTCATGTGGGAGAGTCCTTTCAGTTGAACTCTGTATTTGCTGCATGCATAGGCAAAGAAATTTAGCTGGAGACAAAATTTTGGTGAAGGATCGAAAAAGTTCGTTTCCAAAGTTGCAAAAATTTGCTAGAGAGTCAGAGATGTTGGTTGAATTGCGAAAATTCAGAACAGTTGGTTGCAAAGTTGAAAATATAAGCCAGGAAATCAAGAAAGTGGAAAGTCAAAAAATTTGCAAAACCCAACAAGAAAGTCAGCTTGAAAGCTGGGATGTTGAAAATGTTGGTTTACAAAGTTGCAGAAGTAAGGTAAAAAGTCAACAAAAATTGAATGTCAAATTACAAAGGTTTGCTGAAAGTAGAAAAATAGGACAGAAAATTGTCTTGGAAAGTTGAAAAAGTTAATTGGAAAGTTGAAAATGCTGGTTGCAAATTTGCCACAGTTAGATAGAATTAGAAACTGTTAGTTCGATCGCAAAATTGAAAATGTGGGTTGAGTTCACTCTGATCAAACTAACTTAATATGTGATATTGGAATGTGCCAAATTGTGTTCCCTACAACACCGTGCAAGCATATTTTTTTCCTTGGTGTCTAGCTTGAATTGATTTTAAATACCCCCCCCCCATGATTTTTAATTAGTTTAATGGGGGGGCTGGAGGCGCCCAAGCTTGCAAGGTCGTGTAAGCAATACAACCAAGGCTGAGGACAGCAAAAGCTGTATCCAGTCAATAAAAATTTTATTATATACCGGGGTACCTTATGGGTGTAATTACCATGGCATGACTTTAAACACATGATGCATTTTGTTGACATTTCAGTTGAACAAACATAGAATGTACACTTATACACTCATGTGACTGCACTGAAGTCACTGAGTAAACTCTCATTTTGTGCTTGAAACAGTCACATTAAGGTTGAACACTTAAATCAGTTTAAAGTAGAAGCCTATCAACTTATAAACGCAAATACCCAGAATTTATTCTTTTTGCAATATAGTGTACCTACCAGTAAATATAAGGATATTTATAAAAAAAAAAAAGTCGCCAGCCTAATTTTCAAGAAAATATTGCGGCCATATTGTCAGTACATTTGTATTACAATGTATAATGTTTTTGCTATGGCTTCCTATGGCAGAGATATTATGCCATATCTCAGATTGTAGGCCAGTAGAAATCATATATTGTTAATGATTGGCCACTTTGTTGATCTAAATTAAATCTAGGTGTCAAAAAAACCTGTTTTCTTCAACATTGAGAAGTCATCAGCCTTATAGCATCACAGAAATACAGGTTAGGTTTCTGATAATGATACAATCACAACCTGTATACCATTTATTTCAAAAACTACTCCAGTAAAAATACAGCGGTAAAAAACAGAAATTTAATTGCACACGAGCAGAAGTTAAAAAAACACTGATTGGTCAATAACAACCATGTGCGAACGTAGATCGACCCTAATTAACATAATTTATGCATTACATTTGGATAACAGCTGTATTACTGTAATGTTGAATATAGCGATAAAAACACAAAATTAATAACAATATTAATGTTCGTGACAAGCCTAAATTACAAGAAAATGATGGTTGTATTTTAGTGCTGGCCATTTTGTCAGTATTTTGCCTTTTACCAAAGGTTCCTATGGCAGAGATGTTATGCCATATCTCAAATTGTAGGCCAGTAGAAATCATATATTGTGAATGATGGGCCATTTTGTTGACCTAAATTATTTCGAAAATCTGGGTTTTAAATCTGGGTGTCAAAAAAAGCATGTTTCCTTCAACATTGAGTTTTATGGAGTCGTTCTACAATAGCAATTATTATAAAATATTAGGAAAAGTTTCTCAAAATACATAACAGTAACACACAAATAATGCTATTTCATAGGAGCAAGGAACAATAGCTCGAGTGCATAATATTACATAATAAACCAATTCACATTGTCATGTGATTTATGACCAACTTTCTCAAAAATTAATTGAGCACACATAATTAGATAATAAAATTTAAAATGTCAGTTCATTTCCAGGTCACTGACCTATGTTAGGAGAATGCGGTTGTTGCATCTTTCAATTTAAAAGTTTTGTGTCATATCTCTTTCAAACGAAATGACGGCCCAACATTTTGCCTATACCGTATTTGTTCCATTAGAAGCGCATTTTGCACTTGGATAAATAACCTTTTCACCACCAGACTTTCTCGTCCCAATTATTCTGCCTTTTTTTTATATTCTTTAAATTTTCCTCGAAATGAATCCTAATTTTGGATCCAACAGACAAAATTTGAGTAAATTTTCAGTTTTTACTAAAACAAATTTGGCTATTTTTTGTCCCAATCTTCTGAAGGAAAGTGCAGACTACAAACAGGATTATTTTTGTGAATTTGTGATGAAAAAAAGAAACTGGTGGCGAAAAGATTAAAGTATGACTTATTTTGACCAAAGATATACTTCTGTCATTTCCATAAGTTTATGCTAATGGTTCAAATATGGTATTTTTTTGTAAAATTTTGGACATTTTTTTGACATAATTTCCTCTTGGCTACAGCTCTTGATATATATTTTAGAAAAAATGTGAAAACAATTTATGCAGGTTTTGTTTTGTGAATGAAGACAACAGTTGACATCGATGCTCAGTGGATTCATGTTATTTGGACACAGAGAAGTAAGAAGTGACTTTAGGGTAGTGTCAGGTTTTGGTGGTGGTGGGAGGTGGGGTCCAGGTCTTGTAAAAGTAAAATCAACGAATGTCCTACACCAGCCCTTAATTGATAAACAGGAGAAACCATTTTGACTATTAAATGAACAATTTAACGAGATTACAGTAGAAACTGATTGATTAGTTTAGAGTACATCCTGGAATGTGCAAACTTTTTATGAATATAAATTGTAATACTGTAAAATACTTTATTTTCTCTTTGAATTAATTTGCGCTATTTTCTCTGAAGGAATGATTCAGTGAAAATAAAATCCAGCAAGTATAACTTATATATTTTACATTCCACTCATTGAAAATCAGTGAAAATAAATTCCATACAAAACACCCCAAAACACTTTTCAGCGAAAATTAATTCCAGCTAAAATAATGTATTTCACAGTACCTCAGGTCACTTTCTTGACCTTTGAATGTCACATCCTGGTACATTCATTAGTATCAAAATCAAAAATGATTTTTTTTATTGATATTTCAGCAAAATTTCATGGACTTGATTTTATTTTTGTCTACTTGAGTAAAATACTTCTGTTAGGAGCAAAAAAAAAACATTAAAATGACCTACTGTGAAATACTTTATTTTGGCTGGAATTAATTTTCTTGATATAGGCACAAAATTGATTCAAATTGATTATAATAATTTTTCTGGATGTTGAAATGATTAACTGATTCGCAAATGTTAAGTCATGAATAAAAGCAAATTCAAATAAAGATATAATAGAATTCAGACATGTTTTGAATTACAATTCAATTCCATTGGTTGTCCTATCAATAATGAGATAAATTTAGTGGAAAATAACAATTGGCAGGTAAAAGCACACTCTCCCTGGTCAAACTAATGGGGGGCGCTCCCTGGCGACTACCTAGCTTAGTGATAAAAGACTGTGAAGGAGAACGGCAAAAGCATGGTGACTACCTAGCTTAGTGATAACAGACTGTGAAGGAGAATAGCAAAAGAAATAATTTATGTTGAGGTGAACATTTCACTAGAAATCACATTTTTTTAAAGTCTGCACGAAAAAAAAAAAATCGAGAAGAGAAAATAAGTTGCATGTCAAAAGCAAAAATCTAGAGTAAGCTGCGAAAACGAAATTTTTTTTCACGAGTCATCAAATTATATACGAGTTGGAAACGTTTCCAAAGTGAAGAAAATTTAAATTTAAAAAAAAATTAAATTTAAATTTTCTTCACTTTGATTTATTCTCGTTCAAAATGAGTCTGCACGTGGTCTTCAAACGCGTCCTGATCACACGAGTCTTTCGGGAACTGTCTGCGACACATCGGACATACTCGTCCAAAGTGACTCTGTACGTGCTGCTCAAATGTATCAGAAGGACACGAAGGAGGAAAGAGAAGATTGCATTCTGGGCACCATCTAGCAGCCCTGTCAGCGGAAAATTCTTGCGCATCGTGGAATTCAGTAGCAACGTCATCTCTAAAAGATAATAAAGACAATAATTAATGGATCAGTCAGGTTTTCAAGACATCTTGGTGGCAACTAGATTTCTCAAGTTCATCTGATTTTTTTGAAATTTGAAACTTCACAATATTATACAAATAGCACTAACAACAATAAAATTTGCCGAAACTTATCAACACTCGTTCAAATGTTCAAAAGCCAAATTTTCCCCTAAACGTGGTAAGCTATGTCACCAACATTGCCATGTTCAAGGTTTGGACGTTACATGTGAACACTTTTCAATGTTTTTCTTGGCTGCAGAAGCACTACAGAGCATGACAAAAATAGAAACCTGTCAATATAATTTCATGATTATAGTATAATTAATGTGCCAAACAATGGTAAACATGGTAAAAGCACACATGTACATGTACGTTGAAATTGACAACTCATTGCACGCTAACGTAGAAATCGACAACCCCTTGCACATGTTAAGGCTGTACAAGGGCAATGGGACGAAACCTTTTTAAAACGAATGAGAATTAGGATGAAAATAAATTGGGACGAATGTGTTTGGATGAATATAAATTGGGAAAAATTGACTGTGAATTCTCGGATATCCTCATAATAAACTGAAGCCAAACAAAATAAAAGAGGTCAGAAATACTTTTTTATAAAATTAGAAGTTTAGAACTGTTTCAGATTTACCAATTTTTTGACTCCACCACTTTTGTGTTTGGGTCTATGGCAGTAATATGTAAAAGTTTAATAACCACTTTTCTTATTTACGAAGTAAGTTACAAGTAAGATTTAAATCTCTAAGGATTACTAATGCATCTTACTGATGAGTTAGAAATTTGTACCTTTCTTCAGGAACGTGCCCGTCAACTTGTATTGTGACCGTTTCTTGTGGAGTCACAGCGTCGGGTTCATCATACACATCACTGTCACTCTGATCAGCTGCATCAGCAGTGGTACGTGTTTCGTTCTTGACAGCAGCTAGTTTGGCTTGTGGTAATACAGTCGGACGCATTGGTGGCGGTAAGGGAGCGGATGTCGCTGCAGCTCCAAAGCACTCTGGTAGCAGGTCTGGTGTTGTTGGTGGCACCATTGGCATCACGTAACCAGGGCGTGGACGCGGTGGTGGGATTGGTGGTGGGATCGATCGGGGACTGTGCATATTGTAGTGGATTCCCCTAGTTACTACTTCGTGTTGTCTACCTAACTCTCTTGCTTCGTCAACATACGGGTTTATAAACATGTTTTCAAAAGGATTGGCTGCTGGGGCGTTGTTGTTATTGATGCTTTCTGGCATTCTCAGTGACATGTTAGAATTCTCAACCTGTTTTAGCAGACTCACATATGCTTCATCTTTGTCTTGTTTTTCTTTAATTTCTCTCTTCAATTCTTCTCTCAGAAGCATTGTCTCTTCCTGATGAAATACAAGAAATTAACAAAAATGTATTAATTAACAACAAAATAATTAAGCTGCACCATTCAGTCTCACCAGTCAGATCTGAGGGGTCATTGCCCTTATGACTTAGCTGTGTGGTGTGGATCAGCTTGAACGGGCTTTATGCTCTCTGTACATAATAAGTTTGGTTATTAAACATACATGTCAGGTGGCCGAGGGGGAGACATGCTGTGACGTGAAGCTAGGTGATTAGGTGCTGTATATGAGGATCGGTTGGAGTCACATAGTATTAACCCTTCCATATAGATGATGTCATTAACTAATGCCACACATTGCTGTCTGGTGATATTTCAAGGGGAACCTGGAAAACCCACGGATTGTACCAATGAATTATGGGACACTATTGTTTATGTTGTTTACTATGTTAATCTATCTTTTGTTATCCATTGTAATTTTAATCCAGAAAGCAAATTTGGTGTGAGCTTAGGCTTAAATAGAGAAGCCCAAGATGTATATTGCTTTTTGGTCCAGAGTGGTGTGTTCTCTGGGTGCAGAGTGGTGTGTCCTCTGGGTGCAGAGTGGTGTGTCCTCTGGGTGCAGAGTGGTGTGTCCTCTGGGTGCAGAGTGGTGTGTCCTCTGGGTGCAGAGTGGTGTGTCCTCTGGGTGCAGAGTGGTGTGTCCTCTGGGTCCAGAGTGGTGTGTCCTCTGGGTGCAGAGTGGTGTGTCCTCTGGGTCCAGAGTGGTGTGTCCTCTGCGTCCAGAGTGGTGTGTCCTCTGGGTGCAGAGTGGTGTGTCCTCTGGGTCCAGAGTGGTGTGTCCTCTGGGTCCAGAGTGGTGTGTCCTATGGGTCCAGAGTGGTGTGTCCTCTGGGTCCAGAGTGGTGTGTCCTCTGGGTGCAGAGTGGTGTGTCCTCTGGGTCCAGAGTGGTGTGTCCTCTGCGTCCAGAGTGGTGTGTCCTCTGGGTGCAGAGTGGTGTGTCCTCTGGGTCCAGAGTGGTGTGTCCTCTGGGTCCAGAGTGGTGTGTCCTCTGGGTGCAGAGTGGTGTGTCCTCTGGGTCCAGAGTGGTGTGTCCTCTGCGTCCAGAGTGGTGTGTCCTCTGGGTGCAGAGTGGTGTGTCCTCTGGGTCCAGAGTAGTGTGTCCTCTGCGTCCAGAGTGGTGTGTCCTCTGGGTCCAGAGTGGTGTGTCCTCTGGGTCCAGAGTGGTGTGTCCTCTGGGCCCAGAGTGGTGTGTCCTCTGGGTGCAGAGTGGTGTGTCCTCTGGGTCCAGAGTGGTGTGTCCTCTGGGTCCAGAGTGGTGTGTCCTCTGGGTCCAGAGTGGTGTGTCCTCTGGGTCCAGAGTGGTGTGTCCTCTGGGTCCAGAGTGGTGTGTCCTCTGCGTCCAGAGTGGTGTGTCCTCTGCGTCCAGAGTGGTGTGTCCTCTGGGTTCAGAGTGGTGTGTCCTCTGGGTTCAGAGTGGTGTGTCCTCTGGGTCCAGAGTGGTGTGTCCTCTGGGTCCAGAGTGGTGTGTCCCCTGGGTCCAGAGTGGTGTGTCCCCTGGGTCCAGAGTGGTGTGTCCCCTGGGTCCAGAGTGGTGTGTCCCCTGGGTCCAGAGTGGTGTGTCCTCTGGGTCCAGAGTGGTGTGTCCTCTGGGTCCAGAGTGGTGTGTCCTATGGGTGCAGAGTGGTGTGTCCTCTGGGTCCAGAGTGGTGTGTCCTCTGGGTCCAGAGTGGTGTGTCCTCTGGGTCCAGAGTGGTGTGTCCTCTGGGTCCAGAGTGGTGTGTCCTCTGGGTCCAGAGTGGTGTGTCCTCTGGGTCCAGAGTGGTGTGTCCTCTGGGTCCAGAGTGGTGTGTCCTCTGGGTTCAGAGTGGTGTGTCCTCTGCGTCCAGAGTGGTGTGTCCTCTGCGTCCAGAGTGGTGTGTCCTCTGGGTTCAGAGTGGTGTGTCCTCTGGGTCCAGAGTGGTGTGTCCTCTGGGTCCAGAGTGGTGTGTCCTCTGGGTCCAGAGTGGTGTGTCCCCTGGGTCCAGAGTGGTGTGTCCCCTGGGCCCAGAGTGGTGTGTCCTCTGGGTCCAGAGTGGTGTGTCCTATGGGTGCAGAGTGGTGTGTCCTCTGGGTCCAGAGTGGTGTGTCCTCTGGGTCCAGAGTGGTGTGCCCTCTGGGTCCAGAGTGGTGTGTCCTCTGGGTCCAGAGTGGTGTGTCCTCTGAGTTCAGAGTGGTGTGTCCTCTGAGTCCAGAGTGGTGTGTCCTCTGGGTCCAGAGTGGTGAGTCCTCTGGGTCCAGAGTGGTGTGTCCTTTGGGTCCAGAGTGGTGTGTCCTCTGGGTCCAGAGTGGTGTGTCCTCTGGGTGCAGAGTGGTGTGTCCTCTGGGTGCAGAGTGGTGTGTCCTATGGGTGCAGAGTGGTGTGTCCTCTGGGTCCAGAGTGGTGTGTCCTCTGGGTCCAGAGTGGTGTGTCCTCTGGGTCCAGAGTGGTGTGTCCTTTGGGTCAAGAGTGGTGTGTCCTCTGGGTCCAGAGTGGTGTGTCCTCTGGGTGCAGAGTGGTGTGTCCTATGGGTGCAGAGTGGTGTGTCCTCTGGGTCCAGAGTGGTGTGTCCTCTGGGTCCAGAGTGGTGTGTCCTCTGGGTCCAGAGTGGTGTGTCCTCTGGGTCCAGAGTGGTGTGTCCTCTGGGTCCAGAGTGGTGTGTCCTCTGGGTGCAGAGTGGTGTGTCCTCTGGGTCCAGAGTGGTGTGTCCTCTGGGTCCAGAGTGGTGTGTCCTCTGGGTGCAGAGTGGTGTGTCCTCTGGGTCCAGAGTGGTGTGTCCTCTGGGTCCAGAGTGGTGTGTCCTCTGGGTCCAGAGTGGTGTGTCCTCTGGGTCCAGAGTGGTGTGTCCTCTGGGTCCAGAGTGGGTGTGTCCTCTGGGTCCAGAGTGTTGTGTCCTCTGGGTCCAGAGTGGTGTGTCCTCTGGGTCCAGAGTGGTGTGTCCTCTGGGTCAGAGTGGTGTGTCCTCTGGGTCCAGAGTGTTGTGTCCTATGGGTCCAGAGTTGTGTGTCCTCTGGGTCCAGAGTGGTGTGTCCTCTGGGTCCAGAGTGGTGTGTCCTCTGGGTCCAGAGTGGTGTGTCCTCTGAGTGCAGAGTGGTGTGTCCTCTGGGTGCAGAGTGGTGTGTCCTCTGGGTCCAGAGTGGTGTGTCCACTGTGTCCAGAGTGGTGTGTTCTCGAGGCCCAGAGTGGTGTGTCCTCTGGGTCCAGAGTGGTGTGTCCCCTGGGTCCAGATTGGTGTGTCCTCTGGGTGCAGAGTGGTGTGTCCTCTGGGTGCAGAGTGGTGTGTCCTCTGGGTGCAGAGTGGTGTGTCCTCTGGGTGCAGAGTGGTGTGTCCTCTGGGTGCAGAGTGGTGTGTCCTCTGGGTCCAGAGTGGTGTGTCCTCTGGGTCCAGAGTGGTGTGTCCTCTGGGTTCAGAGTGGTGTGTCATCTGCGTCCAGAGTGGTGTGTCCTCTGGGTCCAGAGTGGTGTGTCCTCTGGGTCCAGAGTGGTGTGTCCTCTGGGTCCAGAGTGGTGTGTCCTCTGGGTCCAGAGTGGTGTGTCCTCTGGGTCCAGAGTGGTGTGTCCTCTGGGTCCAGAGTGGTGTGTCCTCTGGGTCCAGAGTGGTGTGTCCTCTGCGTCCAGAGTGGTGTGTCCTCTGCGTCCAGAGTGGTGTGTCCTCTGGGTCCAGAGTGGTGTGTCCTCTGCGTCCAGAGTGGTGTGTCCTCTGGGTCCAGAGTGGTGTGTCCTCTGGGTCCAGAGTGGTGTGTCCTCTGGGTCCAGAGTGGTGTGTCCTCTGGGTCCAGAGTGGTGTGTCCTCTGGGTCCAGAGTGGTGTGTCCTCTGGGTACAGAGTGGTGTGTCCTGTGTGTCCAGAGTGGTGTGTCCTCTGGGTCCAGAGTGGTGTGTCCTCTGGGTCCAGAGTGGTGTGTCCTCTGGGTCCAGAGTGGTGTGTCCTCTGGGTCCAGAGTGGTGTGTCCTCTGGGTCCAGAGTGGTGTGTCCTCTGGGTCCAGAGTGGTGTGTCCTCTGGGTCCAGAGTGGTGTGTCCTCTGGGTCCAGAGTGGTGTGTCCTCTGGGTCCAGAGTGGTGTGTCCTCTGGGTCCAGAGTGGTGTGTCCTCTGGGTCCAGAGTGGTGTGTCCTCTGGGTCCAGAGTGGTGTGTCCTCTGGGTCCAGAGGGGTGTGTCCTCTGGGTCCAGAGTGGTGTGTCCTATGGGTGCAGAGTGGTGTGTCCTATGGGTGCAGAGTGGTGTGTTCTCTGGGTGCAGAGTGGTGTGTCCTCTGGGTCCAGAGTGGTGTGTCCACTGTGTCCAGAGTGGTGTGTTCTCGAGGCCCAGAGTGGTGTGTCCTCTGGGTCCAGAGTGGTGTGTCCTCTGGGTCCAGAGTGGTGTGTCCTCTGCGTCCAGAGTGGTGTGTCCTCTGGGTCCAGAGTGGTGTGTCCTCTGGGTCCAGAGTGGTGTGTCCTCTGGGTCCAGAGTGGTGTGTCCTCTGGGTCCAGAGTGGTGTGTCCTATGGGTGCGGAGTGGTGTGTCCTCTGGGTCCAGAGTGATGTGTCCTCTGGGTCCAGAGTGGTGTGTCCTCTGGGTCCAGAGTGGTGTGTCCTATGGGTGCAGAGTTGTGTGTCCTCTGGGTGCAGAGTGGTGTGTCCTCTGGGTCCAGAGTGGTGTGTCCTCTGGGTCCAGAGTGGTGTGTCCTATGGGTCCAGAGTGGTGTGTCCTCTGGGTCCAGAGTGGTGTGTCTTCTGGGTCCAGAGTGGTGTGTCCTCTGGGTCCAGAGTGGTGTGTCCTCTGGGTCCAGAGTGGTGTGTCCTCTGGGTCCAGAGTGGTGTGTCCTCTGGGTCCAGAGTGGTGTGTCCTCTGGGTCCAGAGTGGTGTGTCCTCTGGGTCCAGAGTGGTGTGTCCTCTGGTCCAGAGTGGTGTGTCCTCTGGGTCCAGAGTGGTGTGTCCTCTGGGTCCAGAGTGGTGTGTCCTCTGGGTCCAGAGTGGTGTGTCCTCTGGGTCCAGAGTGGTGTGTCCTCTGGGTCCAGAGTGGTGTGTCCTATGGGTGCAGAGT